GCCTTGACTTTGTTCTTTCTCTCACGCCTCACATCCAAATTCTACCAGCTCTAACTTCAAATGTGCCCCATTTTTACCTACTTTACCCCACCTTAACTACTACCACTTGTTCCAATCTACCCTCATTTCTCATCTGGATTACTGAGTGTGTGACGTCATGGGTCCTGGGGTAGGACTGTTGGGTCATAGGACATGTCTATATGCAGCTTTATGAGATAATGTCAAACTGTTTTCCAAAGTGGTTGTATGTTGACTTTATGCTACTGCCGGCAGAGGATGAAAGTTTTCATGGCTCTACACCCTTGGTATCATCAGATGTTTTACTTTTCGCCCATCTGATAGAATGTAATGATTTTTTTTTTTAAGTAGGTTCCATGCCCAATGTGGGGCTTGAACTCACGACCCAAGATCAAGAGTCACAGGCTCTACCAACTAAGCCACCCAGGCACCCCTGTGATGATTTCTTGTTGGGGTTTTACTATACATTTCCCTATTTATTGGCCATTTGGGTAAACCCTTTTGTGAAGTGCCTGTGCAAGTCTTTTGCCAGTTTTTCTACTGGGATTTTTTTCTCATTGATTGCTGGATACAAATCCTTCGGTGGTTATATGTGTTACAAATATTTTGTCCCATTCTGTTCCCTTTTCACTTTCTTTATGATATATTTTGATGAACAATCCTTAATTTATTGGTTTCAAATACATCAATCTTTTACTCTATGGTTAGTGTTGTGTGTCTTGTGTAGAAATTTTTCTCTACCCTGTGGTCATGAAGATATTCTCCTATATGATCTTACTAAAATGTCATAGCTTTTGCATTTCATAATAGGTCTATAAATCATCGGGAATTTACATATGGTGTGAATTTTTCCCATGGCTGATATTTTTTTCCACCAACATTTATTAAAAAGCCATCTTTCTAGGGCACCTGGGTGGCTCACTTGGTTAAGTATCTGACTTCTGCTCAGGTCATGATGCCGTGGTTCATGAGCTTGAGCCCTGCATTGGGTGATCATGAGCCCCATTTTGGGTAAACACGAGCCCTGCCTCAGGTGAGTCCCACTTCTCTTTCTCTCTCTCTCTGCCCCTCACTCACTTGCACCCTTTCTCTCTCTTTCTCTCAAAAAAAAAAAGCCATCTTTCCTCTTTGTTTTGCGGTACACCTCTGCTATAAATGAAATGTTTTGGGGCTCCATTTTATTCCCCTGTTCTATTTGCCTGGGTCTCCTCCCATACCACACTGTGTATCAGCTATGCAAGGCTATGCTGCAGTAACAAATAGCCCCCAAATCATGTGGACTACAAAAACAAAGGTTTAGTTCTAACTCGGGCTGCATGCCTATCATGGGTTGGCTACAGTTCTGTTCTACTATTCTCACTTTGGGATTTAGATGGATGGGATTTTCACCAATTGGACTATTGCTAGAGT